TGAGCAAGATTGAGACCCCTGTCTCTAAAAATAGTTGTGGTGAGTGCCTTGTAGTCCCAGCTGCTTGGGAGGCTGAGGCAAGAGAATTGCTTAGGCCCAAGAGTTTGAGGTTGCTGTGAGCTATGACGTCATGGCACTCTACCAAGGGTGATAAAGTAAGACTGTTTCAAAAAAAAAAAAAGCCTGTAGCTCAGTGGTTAGGGCACTGGCCACATACACTGGGGCGGGTGGGTCTGAACTTGGTCTAGGCCAGCTGAACAATGACAACAAAAAAAAAATAGCTAGGCGTTGTGGTGGGTACCTATAGTCCCACCTCCTTGGGAGGCTAAGGCAAGAGACTCGCTTAAGCCCAAGAATTGAGGTTGCTGTGAGTTGTGACGCCATGGCATTCTACCCAGGGCAACATAGTGTGACTCAGTCTCAAAAATAGAACAAAACAAAAAAGATCTCCCGTGTCATACGATTATAAAAATAGTCTCCTAAATATTCTTCCAATATTTTGTTAACATTTAAATTTGTAGTCCTTCTGGCTTTTATTTTTGTAAGTGTTTCGAAGTAGAGATTTGGTTGTTCTCCAAGCTGCTTCCTGTAGCTCCCTATATCACAGTTACACATTATCAGATTTAATTTAGAAGACTTCATGGAATGAGGCAAAAAGAAAATATAATAAGCACACCAATAAGTAATTTATTGGGTTTTCTGAATTATCAATCAGTTTCAATTTTTTTCTCGGAATGAAATTCCCTGCTTTTAAAAATTTTGGATTTTTTAGGGCATGGTGGCTCACATATGTAATCCTAGCACTCTGGGAGGCCAAAGCAGGTGGATTGCCTGAACTCTTAAGTTTGAGACCAGCCTGAGACAGAGTGAGACCTCATCTCTAAAAAATAGGCGTGTGTTGTGCTGGGTGCCTGTAATCCTAGCTACTAGGGAGGCTGAGACAAGACAATCACTTGAACCCAAGAGTTTGAGGTTACTGTATGCCACAGCACTGTACTGAGGGCAACAAAGTGAACCTCTGTCTCAAAAAAAAAAAAAATTGGACTTTTTTCAAGTATTTTTAAGTATTACAGAAAATTCCAATATACAGAATTGAGCTGTTCTAAGTGGTAAAACATGAAGCTTGAGAAGTAAGGTAAGTAAGAAGTAAGAAGCCTTGTAAACTAGGTTAAAGTTTAATTTTATTCTGAAATGAGGGAAATATGAAAAGGTTTTAAGCAGAGGGGTGACACAGATTTGTGTATCAAAGAATACTCTAGCACTGTGGAGAACAGACTATACTAGGACAAGGGTAGAGGCAGTGATACCACCAGTACTTTCAGCAACAGATAATGTTCCCTTGGACAAAGTGATAGAAGTAGAGATAATTTGGAGGTATATTTACATAATAACACCAAGAGAATTTAATGGCTAACAATGATATCTGGGATGAGAAATCTGAGAAACAGGGTGGAGGATGCTCCTATATACCAAGAAAGAGAAGACAAGAGCAGATTTTAAGGGAAAATACAGTGTTGGTGTTATGTTGGGTGTGAACTATCTGTGTGTTAATCAAGTGAGGGACATCTGGATGACAGGTGAACATTCAGATTTGGAGCTCAGGGAACATATCTGGGACAAAGACAGGAATCTGGAGGTTATCAACACACTGTAAGAAACCAAGGTCATGGGAATGGATGAGCTTCCTTGTAAGCAACAAAAACTGTGCATACAGGGCCTCTGCTTATCTAAAACGGGAATACCTTGAGTAGCCATAACTAACAGTCTGCCCAGCAAATTTAATTTGTTGCAAGGATATGAGAAAGTTCACAATTAGAGAAACTTAACATTCAATAACATTAGGAAATCTGGGCAACTGAGGGCCTCTCATGTTCCTCTCAGGAACTCATATGCCTGATATATTACCTTCTGGGTTCACATGGTACGGGCAAGGGATAAATTCCCAGAAGAAAGGTGAAGTGCTATTCTTAAGAGGTGGGAGAGAAAAGACACTAGTTAGGCAAATTTCCACTATGTGGACATGCATTCATCAACATGAATAATTAAAAAAAAAAAACCCTCCATGTGCTCACTTTGGCAGCACATATACTGAACATTGGAACAATACAGAGAAGATTAGCATGGCCCCTACTCAGGGATGACATGCAAATTCGTGAAGCATTCCTTATTTACAAAACAAACAGAAAAACCCTCTCCTCAAAATACTGTAGAAAATGGTTGTATTGCCTCCTTAGAGATAACCTAAAATAATTTCCAGTCATCACATCCAGTGCTAAGTCTAAGATTTCCAGGTGATTCTCATTCTCTAGTTCTCAACCCTACTTTGATAATCTGCAACTTAAGGATTTACTGGTATATTAAGCCATCACCAGTGTACCCATATACATTAGTGAAGAGACAATGACAGCTCCAGTGAAGGGGATTTCTGACCAGACTAACTTAAATAAGGCTCAAACTTCAGCCATGAGGTGTCAGGGTAGAATACTGCAATGAATAAAGAGGGAGAAACAAAATAAGGCAAGCTAAGAGACATGGGGTAGAGGCTATAGATCTTATTTACAGGCCACTGGACTGTAGCTGGTTCTTTCTCTTCCTGTTTCATTATCTATCTTCCCCACACAGCTGCTGCACCTTCTTTCTCTCTATATATAAAATTTTAAAAAATTCAGTCAAGAATTTTTCACTAACAGGATGACTCAAACCTTTATTCCTAAGATATACAGGGAGTTGAGGTTCCCTAAATCTTCTGAAACCTCCCAGAGAGATTTTACTAATGTTACAAATTCAACCAGCATTGTCATTTTGTAATGTGGGAATCACCCTCCAGGTACTAGTTTGGATTTAAGCACAAAGAGATTTATCCTAAACTTTCTTAAAAGGCCCTGATTTTATTCTATGTGCATAGGTTAAGTTTCTAGATTTGAGCTTGTTCTCATTTTAAATTATCCAGAGTAATCCAAGAACCATTCTGACTCAATGGTCTCGGCATATATCCACTTTAAATTGTCCTGTGGACAGCTACCTGGTTCTCCAAATTTTGTCCTCAATTACACGATGCCAAAGGTCAATGGGGGATATCACTATTAGCTTTTGCCACCATAAACTGCTAGTTTTCCCCCATGGGAGACAAAGCAAGAGTTATTACAGCGTTTAACTCAGTCTCAGTGCAATAATTAATCCCAGACCCTCTACATTGTTCCTGAGGGTCTGAAGCCTACTATTTAGCTCTCTGGTAATCAATGTTTATAATCATTCAGTCATTCGTTCACAAATAATAGCAGCAACTCATTTTGGCTAACAAAAAAGGAACTTATAAGGAGGATATATGGTAGTCTATACAATCAAAAGAAAATGTGGGCAATCTGGCCTAGAATACAGGAACCAGGGTATATATGGTTTCTTTGGGTTACCACCACCAGAATGACTCAACTCCTATGAAGGTGTCACCTCTCTTCAGAAAGTCTGAAAGTCTGAGTGGGAGAGAAATTTTGATAGGACAAGTTTGGATTGCTTAAATCCAGTGGGTATGAGGCCAAAGTACTGTAATGTACAGTTCTACCACACAGCTTTCCAAAGGATAAGTGGGCATCTATCACTAAAGAAAAAAAGTGATTTGGGGCAGGCCAAAGCAATGGGCAGGCCAAAGCAATGGATGTCCAGTATACCAACATCTAAACGATGGGGAGGAGAAAAGAACTTACTATGGAGCAGCAGACAGGAAGCTGAGAAGAAAATTTAAAGTGGTACAGTACTTAGAGTGTTTGAAGATGCTGGGATTTATCTGTGCTACTTTAGGTTTGCCTAAGAAGCATGTGTAATGGATTTAGCAATAAAGGTCATCACTGACCTTACCTGCAGTGATACCAGATAACTCAAGGATTTTTTTTGGCCAGGACTGGGTTTGAAGCCACCACCTCTGGCATATGGGGCCAGCACCCTACTCCTTGACCCACAGGCACTGCCCAAGTTTTTTTTTTTTTTTTAAGAGACTTTTCCCCTTCTCTCTGCCTAATGCGGATACTACTATAGAGATCTTAATAGATTAGTATCAGTAGAGAGTTGGAATAATCTACTAAAACTATGTAATTTTGATAATCCAAATAAACTCATGTAAAAGAGATATGCCTAAAAAATTAAGGAACAGGCTGGGTACAGTGGCTCGCACCTGTAATTCTAGCACTGTGGAAGGGCCTAGTAGGAAGATCACTTGAACCCAGGAGTGTGAGGATGGTTGACACTGCAGCAATCTAGCCTAGGCAAGAGACTTTCTCAAAAAAAAAAAAAAAAAAAAAAATTAAGGAAAAATTACTGAGCTCTGAGTTTCTCATAAGGTGTAATAAAATGTCAATTTAGTGAGGGATGATGAATGTACTTTAATGTCCACTAATACAAAGGGGGGTATTTTTAATAATTTGACAAAACAGGCTCAGTGTTAAGTAACTTGCCATGGTCAAACAATGAGCATTTAATTTTTAGAATTCTTTATTTTTTAAAATAAGGTTTAAAAATAATGTGGGCAGTGTAAAATATTCAAACAGAAATGTATAAAGTCAAAAGTCTCATGTAATGCTACACTGTTAAAAGAAAGTCATTAATACTTTTCTCTGCATTTATAAACATAAGCACACACTTTTCTATCAATGCCTTGTCTCAATTTATCATGGCCATTTTTTCCACATTTATACATAACAAATGTTCATTTTAATATTTAGATTTTCTTATATGGCAGAACTGTATCCTGTTTAACCCATCCTCTACTGATGGACATGTTGGTATTTTCTTCTATTTTTCTTTTTCTCTACTATGTAAATTTGATGCTTCTGCAGTATCTTTAACATCCTCCCAGCTCCTGTCTACATTTTGTCTTGCACTTTGGAAAATAATTTCAGTGTGGCTATGACCTGTAGTTTAATAAATACTTGGATATATCAAGTTTCAATGTTGGTAGGTATTTCCATTAGCCAGAATTCAATTTCAAGTAATAGAAAAGCAACTCAAAGTAACTTAAGCCAAAAAGAGTATTTATTGGTTCACATAACTGAAAAGTCCAGGGGATATAGTAGCTTCAGGCACGGTTGGATCCAGGGGCACAAATGTTGTTATCAGGATTCAAGCCTCTCTATATTTTGGCTCTGCTTTCCTCTGCGTTGGCTTCGTTCTTTAAATGGTTCAATGTGGTAGGCCCTGTTTGAGCTTCTTATTCTACAAAGCTAAAGCATCTCAATAAAGAGGGCTTCTCTTCCTCCAGTTTATTAACTTAGGGTTGAGTATCACGTGTTCAAATTATATAACCATTCCTGAACCAATCACCATGGTCAAGGAGATGGATTTGTTGATTGATGAGGTCCAAATTACATGTCCACCCACAAAGTCCGAGGGTGGGTCAGACTGCTCAAACCACACGAACTGAAAAAAAGAGGTGATCCCAAGAAACATCAGGGAGTTGTTACAATGAGATGGAACAGATGCTGGGCAACCAAAACAACTGATGTCCAGGATCAGAGGAGACAATGTAAAAGCTTCACCTCTGCTCTAGAAGTTGAATGGTAACAGCTGGCCACTGTTTCTTCCTTGGTATAATAAAAGCATTCTGAAAAAACACCATGTGGGATAAGTTTGTTCTGTTCTCAGGAAGCCTGTAGTCCATTTGAATGGAATAATAATGTCCAACAGCATACTATGAATGACACTACCATAAGAAAACTCAGTGGTCATGAGTCTGAGAGCCCAACCATCTCACTGACGTGAAAGTAACTTGCCTATCACTGCAAAAAATTCTGAGGTTGAGTCAGTGGTAAATTTTAAGGTGAACATAAAACTTTTCTTGTGTTTAAGTCTTTTGCCAAGTTGAACTGGTACATTCGTGTGAGTACTGGTGGACCAGACTCATCTCTGTTATTACTGAAGACAGAACTGATACTGCTTCTGATCTGCCATATCCTTCCAAATAGGATAGGCAAAGTCTCCCAGGTGATGAAAATGATCAAACAGTAGACAAGCATAGAATCTTCCTCTATACTTAAGTTCTGATGGAGTGAGGTGTGGGTTGCTTCTATTCAAAAATCCTTGGTGGAATTAGGCACAAGATAGGCTGAACTCAGGTATAGGTCAGTGTTGATTGCAGCAACGTGTCAAAAAAGGCAGGCAAGAGCTTGATTCAGCTAAATAAACAAGGTACCTTCAGTAGGGCCACACATACCATTAATCAGAATATGATCTGGAAGAATAGGTAGATTAATACTGAAGCTCTGTAAGAGTTTTACCCTGGTTACTCGAGGGTTACTCAGTAGGGCTGGTCTGGATATCATTTTCCAATCTTAAAAGGCCAGTCAGGCACATCAGGCTTTCATTTTCCTGCTCATCTGCTCAAGAACTTTTAGCTGAAGAGAAGGCCATATCCTTAATCCAGACTTGAGGTTCTGTTTAGGAGCCCATGCTACATCTGGGAGCTATACTGGGCAGCAGAGCCATGTTTGTCAAAGTTGGCCCTACTTTCTTTGGTAATCAAAGTTTTCACCTTCTCTAACTCAGCTCATCTCTGAGAAACATCTTACAAGCAAGTGAAAGCCTCAGGCTGGTTCAACAGGCATGTTCAAAGATTTAGATATCTGAGGCATAAAGATAGCTGGCAAGCTCCTAGGTTTAAGTTTTAGACTTTTGGTTTTTCCAATCACCAATTCTTATATGCAGTGTACATTAAAGACTCTTGAGCAGATGATCATCTTCATCTTAGAACTCATCTTTACTCAGTAAGACAGTATTAAAGGCAATGACTGGCAGTGTAGATGAGTATCTTCTGTAAAGTATAGGGAAAAAGAGGGAAAATAAGAGCTGACAATGGGAAGGTAGAAAACTGAGCTTGAAGATAACGTCCTCTTTAGAAGCAGGCTAATCAACATCCAATTTTTTTTATTTGTTGAGGGTGAGCAGTCTACAGGAACCAGACCTAGGCCTCGTTTGATGACATGGAGAGTGAGTCATATAGTTACTGTTAGTCTACAGGATAAGAGACAGGGATATAACTATTCCCAATGTTTAAACAGTGCATTCATTAGAGTAGCTCAGAATAGCTGGACCTTAAATTGTGATATAAAAGGGATGAGATTTCCTCACAACACAAATCAAAGTCTCCTTGTTCAACATGGTCTCAGAGTTCATGAATCTTTCCTACAGAGACAGGTCAGCTTAATGCCTGAGAATATCCCATTGCAAGGAATGAAGTCAGCCACTCTGAATCAGTGTAAGGTGACAGCACTGAGACAGATGTGATTCCACAAGAACAGAGGCTCTTGAGTCTACTAATAAAATCTTTAGCTGCAGTCCTTGTAGGTTTTTTTTTTTTCAGGTCAGTCTATGTTTCTAGCAAAAATGTAGGCAATAAGATATTTGAAATACCAGAGCAAGTAAGCTAGCTATCATGGCCTGGTCAAAATGCCTGCCTCCAACTACTCTACTACTGATGGTTTGCAGTATCAGACATCAGGAGGAGACTCATCTTAAAAGAACATCTCTCACTGACTAGAAAAACTCTTCTCCAATGGTTACATCTTAAATCACATTTATGAGATAGGATATTCAAAGATTGTCTCTTGAGGATCAGCTGTTTCAAAGTTAGTACTGAGTAGTCATAATATTGGCAAACAGGCAGATAGGCCAGTGAAGGAATCATTTGGGATTTTTTTACAAAAGAGTTATGAGCTCAGTTATCTCAGAAATGGTAGAAAAAACTGAATAAAACCAAGGAACAGTGTAACTGTCACTGGTTGAGCAATACAGTGACTTGCAGTTTGAAAAGATGACTGATGAACAAGTACTGAGTCCTTTTAGGATTTGCTGCATGTGAATTCTGCTTTCATAGTTAATGGTTATCTCTTGCACATGAAGTAGAGTACTATGGCTGATGAGAGCGTAAATATACAGGTTGGTCTACGTTGGCCTCAACATGGCATCACCTTTAATATCAGCTTGCCAACAATTCAGGTATCAATGGAGAATCAAGACTTCAAATCATCCACTTCAAGTACCACTAGAGTATCTTGTTGTGAAAGAAGTTGGTTGAAGGGGTTTGTCAGTATAGGGTGCATAGAATTGCTCTCTAGGTATATCCAATTACAGTAACTGGAAGTCCATCTGAGGTGGAAGGCTGTTAACTAGGTTCACTTGACAGCACTTTCAGTCCACATGACTATTCTTGGGGGCAAAGACATGCCCATCTTCTTGCACTTCTCTAAGTTTGCACATAGTATTCCTAAGAAATGTTTGGCATCGACTTAACATGGTTGGTATTGAATGGAGGTACTGAAAAAGATCACAATGCCATTCAGGTCAAATATATTGCTGTCTAGGGCAGTGGTTTTCAAACTGTGTTTTGTAGAGTTCTAGGTGTTGTAAGAAGTCTCCTCGGTGTCACCATTGTAGTTAAGGAAGATGCTGTGGCAGGCTTCAGGCTGCTATGCTTGCTTCACTGCTTCACCCAGAGCAGCTTCATTTTCACTCTGGGCTTCCACATAATTTTCATTCAAAGGGCTTCATGGTCACAAAGCCTTTGGAAAACCATTGATCTAAGAATAAGTTGTTCACAAAATGCTGAAATACAAAAATGGGTCACAGAAACCAGTAACTGTGTGAGCAAAGCCTGTGATAAGCCAAGATGTTTTCCTATTCATCCTTTTCCTAATATGGACCACATTATACATTGATGGAGTTAAAGCTCAAGTCTACTATAAATTCTGATTGCCCTGAGTTGCACTTATAAGTGACTACTAGAAAACAAGCCTGCTGATTTTAAGTTGCAGTGGAACTAAAGTTTTTGCATACAGTTACAAATCACATCCATTTCTTTATAAATATTGCTCCAAGTTCATGGCTGGATGACTATGTTAAGATCTCAATGGGCCACAAGTCAAAGTCTAAGAAAATATTTCCTTCCCACCCTCCCACCCCTACCTTTTCTTTATCCCCTTCTCCTCTCTTCCCACCCTAATCTCCTTACCCACAAGATGCAATGCTTTTGAACTAAGTTTATAGTACAATTCTAGGGACAGAGAGGTATACTGCTGTTATGGAGCTCACTCAATTTTCTGGCAGAATTAAGTCTCCCACATTCCCTCCCCATGGATCTTCTATAGCAGTAGCATCCAACATTTTTTTCCCTCTACCACACACTGGAAGAATAAGAGCTGTCTTGGGCCACCTGTTAAATCCACAACACAAACGAAAGCTGATTAGCAAAAAAAAGGTCTGTGCATGTCTCATATTTGACACCACAGATAAGCAAAAAATGTCCTCACAAAATCAGCATGTGGCCTGTGTGCCGCAGGTTGAACACTCCTGTTCTAGAGATTTCCTTGACAGAAAATAAAGGTAATGGTCAAGCAGCAGGACTCCCATATGATACATACTAATTAAGCAGTAAGAGTAAGAGAAAAGGGGATTTTGAGCATGCACTATTGGCAACTAGGAAGCACTGGCTATATCACTCTGATAAATTTCTGAGTCCTATTACAAGGAATGATGCCAGAAATAGCACTCTGTGTTTGATTAAACTTAGAGGACACACTAGGTTAAAAAGCTACATGGGGCTTTTGCTGCAAGTCTTCTGAGATCCTTTTATATCTCACACTGCATTGTAGATTGGGGGAAGAGACACATAGTATTATACTACCTTATAAAGACAACAGCAGCTCTCTATGTGACATGTATTATGCATACACATACATATATAGACAGTACTGGTCTAAAAGGATAGCCCATTTTGTGTAAATATTAGATTGAAGTTATAGAACCTTAAACTCCTAAGTGTCCAGGAGTATCAGAGTTAAGAATTAAAAGTACATGGCTTAGCACCTGTGGCTCAAGTAGCTAAGGTGCCAGCGACATACACCTAAAGTGGCAGGTTCAAATTCAGCCTGGGCCTGCCAAAACAACAATGACGGCTGTAACCAAAAAATAGCTGGGTACTGTGGTGGCCGCCTGTGGTCCCAGCTACTTGGGAGGCAGAGGCAGGAGACTCGCTTGAGCCCAGGAGTTGGAGGTTGCTGTGAGCTGTGATGCCACAGCACTCTA